AGGCACGTCAAGCTAAATGACGGTTCCGTATAGGATACAAGTCCGAATCCTGTCGGAGGATGAATATTTTCTATGAAAATTTCTCGGACATTCAGGCCGGTAAATGTTTAATACTGTTTGTTATAAACAGAGCATTTACTTAAATATTTGTATCTATAAAAAGAATGTATAAACATAAAAAATGTCTTAAAATAATTGTCGGACTTTGTCCATTTCATAACATATATATATATATATATATATATATATATATATATATATATATATATAGTGCATATGCATATTTCGTCAGTTCTTTTTTTTGGCTAATATGGAGATGATTGTATTTATTCTGACACCTAATACTCCATGCTGGCAGTACGATTTTCTTCTCTTCTTTCCAGTTTTTTTCTTTGCCTTTATTTTCTAAATTTCTTTTACGTCATTGTTTTGGAATTCAGTCATAATGACAGGATACCAGGAAAAGTATTTTTATTTTGTTCTGAAATTATGTTCCTAATCAATTATCCTCTAATTATCATTGTTAATTTGCGCACTAATTTCATACAAATGTGAACCAGTACGAAGAGCTCATAATAAAGACAAAATCGTGGCGACACGCAATAAAGTCCTTTTCATTATTCAAATCGCATTTGCCTTTGTATAACACGCATAATACTTATCGTTCTGGGTGTTATCTTGAGAGCAAATAAAAACTATGGCTGTCACAATCACTTCTTTGCTTACACATAACCGAAGCTATAACATTTTTCGTTTGTTTATTTAGCGGCATATCAACACCTTATGGGTCATTTAATGCCGAAATTTAATTTTCTTGCGAGTATTAGTAATTTTCTTTATAAAAATGTACTGATGGTAAGTATTTTTTTTTTCAAAAATGTATTACTGATAAATTTTATTTTTTTTTTACAAATATGAATTGCTGGTAAGTTTTCTTTATCAAAAATTTATTGCCGATATTTTCACTATAAAAATGTATTTTTATACTTTCATAGTGTTATGACCCCAGTTTGGGAGTTAACTATTTGCCCTAACAGATGCTACCACCCGAGCCAGGGTGAACCTGGGAATAAAAGCAATTAAGAGGTGGTTCCACGCTCCTCAAAATCTCCAATCACCCGATTAGAGACTCTGCTGCCGGATGTAGTTTATCGTCATAACCCGAACGAACGTTTTTCGTAAAAAAAAATGTTTATTTAGTTCCATATTATATCCTTTGTATTTGATGCAAACTTCAACGTGGTGTATTGATCAATAAGCTTGACTCTGTAGATTACTTACGACTGAGTCGAGAGCTCGATCCTTAATGGGTGCTCCATATTTATGCCTTTTGCCACACCTATTCAACTATGTGTGCAGCTTATTTAGTAAAATACCAACGTTCTACCATTACTACTTCCACTGACCGGGTGTAACAGCAAAATTGTCCAAATCGTTTAACTGCAAAATTGTCCAGTTGTTAGATTAAGCTTGGACGGTCGTATCTTAGAAATGATTAATGATATCTTACTGGAATTCTCTGAGGCTTTTATAAGCAACAAAAATGTATAATTTCTCTCCAAGCTTAATAGAAGAATAGTGATGAAATCACTATTCTTCTATTAAGCTTGCGCATCCAATATCTAGACTCGACGAATTAATTATAATTATCTCAAATCCTCGTAATAATTTCTATCACTTGTATATCCTTGCTTGAACCGGCTTCTAATGCTCTGGATGGAGCGGCTTGGGTATAGAAGTCGTGGCTCGTGAGGGCACAGTCCTATGGGTAAGGGAAATTCGGATGAGTTCCACCACGGAATATGTGATCAAGCGGCGCTATATTGAGTCTAATTCGCTACCTCTTCGTCACCGAGACCCGTTGGTATGCCTGATAACGTAACTGTCCTGGTTTCAATTCTCGGTAGTGGATGCGCACTGCTGATGAGTCCCAAATATAGGACGAAACGGCCGTCCAGTGCTTTCTGCATTCTGTTGAGGTTTCTTCTAGACTCAATGAATTACTTAACTATAATTATCTCAAATCCTCCTAATAATTACATATATATATATATATATATATATATATATATATATATATATATATATATAATTTCAGGATCATTTTCCAACTTTTTCAAGTTAATCTTCGCCCTTCAACCTTGTGGAGTAACAAGGTGCCTTGAAGGTTTTACATACGATTTCATTTTCACTGCTCCTTGGACTGTCATAGCTGAAACTCCTTTCTCAAGTACCAAACGCCTTATAGATTGAGTTGGATCTTTTCTAATTGATTTCTTTAGCTCTAACTTGAAATGATGATCCCTCTTCTTGATGTGACCTCCTGATTCAGTTTTCCTTTCTATTGTTCCCTCTTTTTTAAACTTATTCACTGTTCTCTTGATGGCTCTTGAATGAACTTTGAAGATGGAAGCCAGAGTATGAATGTTGGTACCCTTATTGAAGGGGGCGACACAAAACGATTTTAACCTGTTCTCTTTCTAGTTGAATAACTCAAAGGATTTTTCAGTGATTCTTACGACAAATGGTGTCAAGATGGCTAAACCTGGATAAAAGAAACTAAATTAGTTTAGTGTTTTTTTTAGATATTAAGCATTTTGTGGGATGGGCAATTATGCTATTATACGATTTAGACAATTTTTCTGTTACACACGGTATATATGTATACCGTGACAATATTTCGCTTAACCCACTTAAGGGGGTTGTGCGATAGACTAGTGTGCCGCAGCATGGCGGTGGAGAATCACTGTTTGAATCCGTTATCGTTGTTAGTTTTAATTTTATAATTGTCGTTATTCATGGGTATGGATGCAAATCAGACCAACTGGTCACTTTGAGCTGAAGCTCTGAAAAAAAAAAAAGAATTCTCCTCTAATTACGAGTTAAAGAAAGTCTATTGAAATTTGATTTTTGATATGCCACTATGTGATCGGGCAAATCCACACTTTTTTCTCTCGCTGTTTGGCCTCTCGTTCCTACTCACACACGGCAGAGACTTTGGAAAGTAATGGGATGTGAGTACTCATAAGAGAAAAAAAAACGGCCTTTAACTTCGTTTAAACTCTGAAATTTTATTTACTATTTCTTTATTTTTATTTTATTTTCATTTTTCACTCAATAGGAGTAGATAGGTTCGCCTATCGTCGGGTTCACCCCCACCGGTCTTTTGAAAAGGAGAGGAGACTTATCTCTTATTTCCTGTTTAGAACTGGGTTTTTGGTTACTTCTAAAGTTTATTTCAACTTTATAATTCTAGCATCTCCGTCTAAACTTTAGTTTTATTTACTACTAATACATCATTAAGAGTAGATAGGTTCACCTATCGTCCGGTTGAAACTCCTCTCCGATCTTTTGAGCAAGGGTAGAGGTTTATCTATTGTTTCCTGTTTAGGGTTGACTTTCTGGTTGCTTCTAAAGTCTTTTCATTCTATTTCACTCACAGTAGCCATCTTGCGTCTTAGTGGCATTATCGGTGAATTGATTTTTATATATATATATATATATATATATATATATATATATATATATATAACACATTATGAAATGGACAAAGTCCAACAATTATTTTAAGACATGTCTTAATATATATATATATATATATATATATATATAGTTTATAAAATCTAGGTAATCCGTATGAGTAAACCTAAGGAGGATAAAATCGAGAGAGCTCAATGTAAATTCAGAGCAAATAATTTGAATAAAAAACAGACCACTTTAAGGTTCCATGTAATAAATTATTTCACCACAGCTCTTTTTAAAAGGACTGCGTGTCATCAGACTCTACTTCCAAAACATATATATATATATATATATATATATATATATATATATATATATATATATATAAGTGTGATTTCAGAAAGAAAATATTAGGTTGAATTCTTTCTTCTTTATCAACGATCAACATTGTTCTTTTCATTAATTTCCTGGAGAACCCAAACACCCAGCTTGTTGATATTCCTTATCTTTTCCAAGTATCGGCATATGGTAGATTGTGACGTGTTCAACACTAATTCCTGAGTACTTTGTTGTGGCTTTCATTCCATTAATGACTTCAGACATTCATCCTCAAAGTGTCAGTAACGCCCCGATTTGGGTTCATCTTCCAGTGATGTTTCTCCACAACAGAACATGATAAACCATATGATCCAGTGTCCCTGTTATTTACCCGGAGTTCCTTGATAAAATCCAAAGAAGAATTATTGGTCTTGATCTGGCGGCTCAGCTACAGTCACTTTCCCACCGCCGTAAGGTTGCTTCTCTGTGTCTTTTCTATTAATACTTTCATGGTAATAGTTCGAATGAGCTCTTCGCTAGTTAGGATTTTCATAGAGACAATGAGGTATTATGATGGATGTAGTAAGGTACTTAGATTTTTTGAATTTAAGCGCAGTACTAGACTAGCGTCGGGATCTCATTAATTTACAGTTGAGCTGGGTAAATGTTACAAATTCTATGTTAATAGTTTCTTTTCTCGCACTTCCGGTTCCATGCATTCCAGCCAACATTAATCTGCAAAAATTTAAATGCAATGTTCATCGATGTCTGCTGTCCTCCTGATTACTCTTTCCTCTTCCCGCTCATTATTAATGGTTCTGTTCCTAATTCTTCCACACTCTGTAACTCCTTGTGTCATAGTGGCCTTACTACTATGCGTGGAGTGATACCATTGAAAAAAAAAATTACGAACTTACGTTTAGTTATGATTGATTGATTTGATTTGATTTTTACGGCTTATGCAACGATTTGCAGGTTATTTAAAGTTAGAAAATATTTTTATGTTGTAAGAATTTTTTTTTTTTTTTTAGAAAATAATGGTTTAGTGATACAAATTTTGCTAATTAACTCATAGCTGGGGGAGATAGAAAAGGTGGATTCATGCCTTTCCCAAGAGTATTTGCATGTAATTGAATATAACGAACCCAAATGAAATTGCAACTCAGCTCTCCGATTAACGATTCTGAAACATTATTCATTCTACCACATGCGCATCCAAGCTTACAGCAGCTGGTATTTCCAAGCGATCATTCATCTAGCTACTAACCAGACTCGCCGTTGCTTAACTTCGGCGATCGTACGGGAACTGGTGTTTCAACTTGATATGGCAGTAAGCATAAAACGAGGGGGAAAACACTAGTCTTTAAATAATGTTCTTCTAGATGTCTCTTGCTTACAATTTCATAATATTATGTGACGTAAATATACATTCAATCCTTCCATTAGTGTAGATATTTATTTTTAATCCTCTATGTACGTTGGCTCTATCGTATATATTAGTGCACCTTCAATTTCTTTTAATTGCCATGTATGATTAGTAATTAGGAGAATAATTAGAGTTGCTTTGTGGTTACTCTTGGTTCTCCAAAATGGAAATATATTTGGGATCAAAAGTTGTGCATTATTTGGCGGGAAATACGAACTGTGCAGACATAGATACAACAGCATGTTTCTAGGTTAACGTTGAAGAAAGCATTCACTTTATATAGCAAATATTTATTTTTCGATATAATCTTCTCCCTTGTCACTGCTCTTAATTCAATCTCACTTATCTATTTCAGTATTTTTATTTATTTATATCTATCTATCTATCTATCTATCTATCTATCTATCTATCTATCTATCTATCTATAAGTAAAACAAATGTAGTTCAAAAAGAATTATTTGAAATAATAATAATAATAATAATAATAATAATAATAATAATAATAATAATAATGTTGTCTAAGTAAATAATATAATTCTGGAGTTGGACGAGGTAAAAGTGACCACCCGGGGTCAAATTATAGCCCCCGGTAAAGAACATTAGGGATAAAATTAGCCTTCAAATTAGCACATTAGACGCTATTGTTTCGTAGGGGAAATTCTTCTTGTATACGGTAATTATTTTTTCTGATCGTGTTTCCCACGCATGCGTATTGTCTTAGTTTCATTTTTTTTTCTTGGCTTTGCTTCCATCCTCATGAAACGTATGATATTCACGGGGGATAAACATTTAATAACTTTAAATTAATATTTCCACTGTTCGCTTTCCTGGTTCCCCTACGACCAGCACTTAAAAAAAACGAAGAGTAAGTATCATTTCTTATCAATTCATCAAATTAAGTGATCTTCTCTAGAAAGCAATAATTGCTAATCTGTTTTTTTTTCTCGCCACCCATCGCTTTTTTTTTCTAATAATATAAACGTGTCAATTACACATGAAATAGAACATCTGTCTCAATATCTTTCTCAATTTTTTCTGTAACCGACCCCACCACCTTAGTATCGAAAGAGTGCTTGAGGCATTTGAGAATAAAGGTTGAGACTAAGCCTTTTCAGTAACCAAGAGATTCCGAACATAGATAAAAAAAAAACAAGCAAACAAACAAACAAAAAACGATTGTATCTTGTGACTATAAGGGCAGTAGTTTTTTGCTTCTGGCTTATGGCCATATCACGTTGAAACACAAATTCCCATACGATCACCGAAGTACCAAGATTGGTGACCATATAGAAATACCGGGTGCTGTAAGTTTGGGTAGTCGGGTGGTATAATGTTTTTACGGTCATATCACGATTACCGAAGCTGGTTTGAGGTGTATGGCGAAATGTCTCGCGTGCAAGGTAAAGATATTTATTCAGGTACACATATCTACACATATTTCACTGCATATGTATATATCTCAAGCTACATTAAAACAAAAACTAATCCGATAAGAATACATATAAAATAATATAATGTCTTCAGTTACTTTTCCACTACAATAACGTAGCTTCTCTCTGCCTTTTCTATAAATATTTCCATGGTAATTGTCCTGATGATCGTTCATCTTTGTTACCTAGTCTTTATAAGCGAATTACAGGATTGGCGACAGGCCCTCATCATTTTAAAGCTGAAAAGGTTTGATGTAATCATAGGCTCTGTGCTTTCATCTTTCACACTTCTCGCTTGTTGAACTCTCTTCCGGCTTCTTGCTTCCCAAGGCTTATGGCCGCATCACGTTGAAACGTAGGTTCCCGTACGATCACCGAAGTTAAGCAACGTCGAGTCTATTCAGTACTTAGATGAGTGATTGCTTGGGAAGGCTAGGTGCTGTAAGCTTGGATGTGCGGGTGGTATGATGGATAATGGCCCAGAATTGTTAGTTGGAGAGTTCCAATTCCAGTTGGGCTCGTTGTATTCTTTTACGCACAAATAGCATTAAGAAAAATATGAGTCCTCATCTTCTCCCCACAGCTATAGATTAATTAGTAAATTTTGTATCACTAAATCATTATTATCACAAAAAAAAAGAAAAAAAAGAAAGAAAATCTAAGAAACTAAAAATAGTTTCTGGTTTTCAATAACTTAATATAATATTAAATGTATGGACGAATGGTGGATCTATAAACGTGCAAGATGGACTCCGGTTAGGAAACGTGTGTACAACAGTTAAATAATTTCTTAAGCAGCAGACCTAGCAATTGATTCAATATAATCATTTCACTTTATATCAGTGGAAAACGTGTGAACAAGGAGAATCAATGAGTTACTCTCCTTAGCCATGTAAAAGTAGTTACTAAAATGACTAAAAGGCATCAGTTTCGTTTTGGTGATGTTACGATTTACAAGCCATTTCTTGCTCCAGTTAACAACTGATTCAATGCCATTTTCGTATTCAGCTGACGATTTTACTTTGTCGGACGTATCGGATTTACCATTAAGACAGGAGTAAATAGCTGCGTCATTAGCATGAATACCGTGTTAGGAACTGATGACAACGGAAAGGTCGTTTATGATAATAAGAAACAAATAGGTCAAGGATAGATCCCTGGGATATATATATATATATATATATATATATATATATATATATATATATATATATATATATAGTTAAATGTTTTTGTTGTTATATTTTTTTTTAAATCCCTTACTATAAAGGTAATTTACATTAACAAAAAAAAAAAAAAAAAAAAGGCTTGGATAGAAGCGTCTATCTTTTTAAATTTGGATTTTTTAATGTAACTATAACAACAAAAACATTTCGATTTCATTTTTTCCTTGAAAAAGTCGGAAGACGAAACGCGTTGACAAAATCTAAGATTTTTTTCCAATTGTCATTTTATACCAATCTGTCTTGTCCACAGAATTGATCTGTGAATTTAACTATATTGCCGACATGGGAAAAATAGTCCCTTACTATAAAGGTAATTTACATTAAACAGAAAAAAAAAGGTTTAGACAGAAGCGTCTATCTTTTTAAATTTGGATTTTTTTATGTAACTATAACAGCAAAAACATTTCGATTTCATTTTTGCCTTGAAAAAGTCGGAAGACGAAAGCGTCGGCAAATTCTAAGATTTTTTTTTCAATTGTCATTTTATACCATATATATATATATATATATATATATATATATATATATATATATATATATATATATATCCCTGGTCCCACTAATTAAAACCTTCACAGCAAGGACACTTACATAGTAGCAAATCATCCACAACCCCTCCGTATTCCATAGGTGAGGAGTAAGCTCTATTCCAACAGCTTCTTGCCGCGAACCACTATTCTGTAGAATCAACTCCTACGAGGATGTTTCCCCGATCACTACAGTCTTAACCCATTCAAGTCTAGTGTTAATCCTTATCTTTCACTCCTATCCGAAGAAATTGACTCCAGATCTAACCCTATACCTTGAAATATATGCAGTGGGTCTCGACTTAGTTTGGAGATCCGTTCCTATGGCGCGATGTAACCTGATTTTTGACGTAGGTCGGAAATCACTTACATAAGCACCCACGAGTTTTCCTTACGCTTGGGAGCCATAATGAAGGGAAAAAATGTTGCCCCCCAAAACAACACAAACGAGATATAGCGAATGTAGCACAGTCCAATATGGCGTACAGTCGATGAAGAAACAACGCGGTCTTCCTCATATAGCGTCGCGTATTATGGGAGATGGCGCCGTAAGCACGAAACGTCGTACGTTGCGTCCAACGTAACCCGAAGACCTTCTGTATATACATGACCTCAGTGCAATACAAAGCACAGTACTCAAAGTCAAAATAAAAAAAAGGACAATATAAGAAATATAAAAAATATATTACTCACTACTGTCTGAAAATTGTGGTTTACACATGAATCTCATTGAAATCTTTAAAACATTTCATTCATAAAGTGTCTTGTTAAGTTAAGGAAAGTTTTACAAATAGATTCCAACTTGTAAAATGCAAATTTCAAACACATTTCTGCACTATATAAGACGATATTCCTAAACAGAACTATTTTTGATATGAAAATCAAAACAATTCTCGAACAGTAATGAAGGACAATTAATTAATGAAATAAACTTTTTAAAACCAATATACAAATTAATTAAACCTGAAGAGTGATATTGCCTAGAAGTAGGTAATATATAATACAGATATTGAGCGTTTAGTACATAAATTACTATTAAGTAAAGCTGATTTCAGAATTTATGGGAGAATTGCGCTCCGATTTCGCATTTACTCATACAGATTCCATACTATAAGCTTTTACTTAATTAGCTAATATGTTTATTCAAAAGTTAAATGTTTAACTAATTTTATTTTGTGTTCCCATAAAGATGATTAAAAGCAAAACTGTATTTAGAAAGGTTTACGCTATATTAATTTTAACTTATAAACTGTCCCCTGTTCTGTTACCCATGAAATAAAAAATGTTTGTACGGAAAATGAAGATCTATGTACATCAAATTGTCTTTAAATTAAGTCGCAGCAGCAGAATTATCGTTAAACTTTTAAAAGGTAAGCTTAAACATTAGGACGGCTTTTTAGCTGGCTTAAAATTTTAAGCTAGCTGCAATTTTGGATCCAAAAGGAAAATAACAGTTACTCTCCTTGAACTATGAAAGCAACGATAATGGCTAATATAATATATTAATATATATTTTTAACCTCGCAACCGTGAATCTGAACTCAACGAAAATCGTCCCTTGCGTCTAACTTTTCTAGGGCTTTTGAATGAACTATAAATCATTGAAATCGGACCAGTGGGAGCGGAGGAGTTGCTTGGAGAAACACATGAACAAATATACACACATACACTGTATTTTATATATAAGATATATATGCAAATACACTCAGTCTAATAGATAAGAAAACCCGAAGTCGGCAGGTGTTGATAACAATTGTTTACAAAAGCTATTTGATATGCCGGCGATAGTTGTTATTTGAAATCAGCGTAATTAAACGTCTTTTGTTTCAAAGACAGGAAATTAACCGAGATTGATTTAAAAAAAAAATAAAGGAAAACAAAAGATCTTTCATGTTTTGATAACAACATTAATGTTACAACAAAGGCCTAACTGTTCCATTAATCATGTATTTTTTATTTTATTTTTTCCGCTTGAAAAATAGGAGCGATATTCTCCATGCTGCGAGATTGTTTCATGTTCCTCCATTTGTTGACTCAAAGTATCCACTTTGAAAGCTTCAAACGATTCGAGAAAAAACGAAACAATACAAAATAGATACATTAACAACCCTGACATAATAATATCGTTATAGAAATAATGTACACTAGTAATTGTAATTTCAAATCGCAAAGTTTTACAAAAAAGAGGAGGGAAATAACATGAACAGAAATTAACATTGCCAGTTTTGCGTCTTAAAAGGTCATCAGGTTAATTTCTTTGTCAGCAATCTATATCTAATATTGAACATCCTTCGTCGATAATTATAACAGCATTGGCACACACAATATATATATATATATATATATATATATATATATATATGAACATAATGAGACAAATTGGAAAAGCGATTAACGACGCGTTTCACCGTGAGCGTCTGCTCCCTTTGACTTCTTCAGGTTGGAAGGATATTGTTTTTCTTCACTTCTGTTTCGAATACGATTATAAAGCCAACACACACACACACAGAGTAGTAGAATCTCTGACTGACACCAAATCGGTTGGGTTTCAATCCTAGCTTGAGACATTCGGATGTCTAGTTGCACTGAGGAGCTGTGATACAGCGAAACAGTACTATCTTCAGAGTGAAACACACACACACACACACACACATATATATATATATATATATATATATATATATATATATATATATAAATAAAAAAAAGAACAGTAAGATATAAAATCCGGTGTTCTTATAGATATTTTTATTTTTACAAAATGGTGCTCAATGTAAATTTACAGAGCATTAATATTATAAATTAATTGATTTAAAATATGGTTTTTTTCGCTACACAGTTCCAACCAAAAGCATTAGTTCCATTTCATCTTCAAGCTTGAAGATGAAATGGAACTAATGCTTTTTAATTTAATTGCAAAATTAAATTCGGGGTTTTTAGCTTCTATTTTTGAAGCATGGTTGGAACTGTGTAGCGAAAAAAACCATATTTTAAATCAATTAATTTATAATATATATATATATATATATAGTTTTAATCCGTTAAAGTTCACGAATTAATTTCTTGGTGGCTGTAGAAAATTGATCAAGAAAAATACCAACATTTTTTCAAATAATTTTTAGTTTCCCAAGTACTTTCACTCTCATCCGAGACCATCTTCAGGTGGTTAAAATATCTGTAAATGAGTAATACAGTAATTCCGTAAATTCAAAATATTTTTTTCTTTTCTTCATTGGTCGTTTACAGAATTACAAATGCACAATTTTTCTCTCAGTTATGCAAAAGAGGTAACTTTTGTAATTCTTTTAAAAAAGAAAAAGATTTTTTATCTATAATATTTTAATTTAGTATCTTTTCTTTTAAAAAAAGATTTTTAATTATAAAATCTCAATTTAGTGTTAAAAAAGAAAGAGATTTTTTTTTTAATTATAATATTTTAATTTGTATCTTTATATGAAACTTTGCTGCTACAAACATTTAAGAACTTTGTTGCTGTACTCCTAGTTGACATCATTTATTTTTGGCTGCAATTCTCTTAAATAAAGGGCTTCCAGAATTTTAGGTTTTTGCTTATTATTATCTAGATGAGACACTGATGTATTTTCCACAAATATCTGTCTAAACTGTGAATGTGGACGTGAGTGTTTCTCCAAATGCTCTGAGATTAAAAAATGAAAATTATTGGGAAAATAA